CCAAACTCTGATCAATTCCATTCTACGTCTCTAAGAAATGCTTCCATGTGGAAAACGATTTGGACCAGCTGTTCTGTAACTCCAACTGATGCATCATCAATGTTACTTCCCTGTGCTCTCTTCCCCTTCACCAGTATCACAGCATCACAACCTCTTGAAGCATAAAGGAATTTGAACAAAATTCCTTTGGCCCTATACTGCGCATATGTGGGAGAATTAACCTCTGGGTTTTCCAAATCAGGATTCTGCCCTGACTCTTTACTGTACAACCATCTGTAGTTCTTAGTAACCATGGCCATACTTACAAGATAATATTGTGTAAATTTTTAAAATAAACATCATGTGCATATACAGTATACGCTACCAGTTTGTGTTCCTAATATTGGTATTTAAGGCTATTTTTGAATGGTATTCTGTTGTGACATCTCATTGTGTATCTGCCTTGTTGGATCACCTTAATGAAACCACTGGCTGTCTCATTCAGTCAATATTTTTGGGAATCAAATGATTTCTAGTTTAACTCCAGAGCCGAGGCCCAGCAATGACTGTCCTCCAACACCCGTCTGCAAACACACTGCAGTGACCTCACCCTCAGCACCCTGCCAAGGCTAGAGACTAAAATAAAATGCTTTGTGCGGCAGCCTAAACACTTGACATCTGCCATGGTTTATTGCTCAGCACTGCTGATGAACAATGCAGAGTGCTGGAAACTGAGGATAAGCAACAAGGTAAAGTCTCAGAAACAGGCCTGTGCCATATTGCATACACGGTGATTCCAATTCAGGAAATACAATCGCATGCTATTGGAGGGGAGAAGTTACTACGCCTTGAAATGGATTGCTTCTAGTGCTGTCTGGAAAGTATTAGGAGCAGGATGGCAAGAGCCAGTGTGCGTTGGGGTCACCTGCTGGAGTTTAACCAGCTAAAACCACATGGCTTGCCATTGATATTGCTCCCTGGCCAAGCTTTCCCACTGCTTGTCCAGCTAGGACCACCCTATCCTTTAGGGGTTTGGCTTGCAGGGTTAACAGGAGCTGAGTGGGAGGATACCTTGCCCCCAGTGACTGGTCGGCCCTTCCAGGTCCTGGTGATGAGCCAGGCTGGCTGTGCTATGATCAGCAGTGCCCTGGAGTATGGTCAGAGGCCAGGCTCCTCCAGCCAGTCACAGGGGGGACCTCAGGCTGGGAGCTGCAGAAACACCTTCTTTCAATAATTCTAACTTCTATTTTACACTTAGCCATTCATTCCCCATCCGGCAGCCACACCAAGCCACCGTTCAGCATTACCTTCAGCCGGAATCAGAGTGTTGCAGAGTTAGAGCTAAATAGGTAATAAATAAGTTGGATCAAATAACAGATTATAAAACTTACAATGTTAGTGCTGTGTCTATTTTCTCAAAGAGAGGAAATACATACGCAGGTATCTGACAATGTTAAAGTGGCTTTTTTTTTGGCTTAATGCACTGTTTTATGACTAAAAATAGTCCAACTCAGCTCAGCTTGCGGCTCGCATTGCAGCACAGAGCGGGTTACACTAAATGCTCCAAAACCATCTCCTCAACACAGCGGCAATTTCGCCCACAAAATATACAGCCGCTCCACTTTACAGTATATTCTGTGAAGCGCTTTGAGACGTCTCAACAATGTGATAAGGCGCTCTATCAAATGCAAGGATTATTATTACACAGTTCCCGAACCCCACTGGTTTCATTCAATGCTTTTACAACAACAAAAAAAGATGCCTTTTAGGACGGACGGTCTCGCGGGGGGGGGGGGGGGGGGGGGTGTTTCTAAGTGGAATGTTTGCTAAAAACGGAGATGAAGGTTAAAAAAAAATAATAATGAATTAAACATCGATGTCTGTGAGAGGTCACCATCGCTTTCCTGGAGAAGCGATTTGCAGGAGGGATGAGAGAGAGAGATAGAGAGGGATAGAGATAGAGAGAGAGAAAGAGAGCTGACAGTGAGCAGAGAGGCGCTGGCCACGGTGCTGAAAGTCATTTAATACTCACATTCTCTGTCTCTCTCCACTTCATAGTGTGTATATATATATATATATAGGGTACACTGCTATATATTGCTGGATTTATAACATAGATACAAACACATATATATATAGGGTACACTGCTATATATTGCTGGATTTATTATATATATATAATATATATATATAACAGACCGTTTATCAAAGTGTGTTTTCAAGGCGTCCAGATACCAATTTACAGAGAACATTAAATGTGCATTAAAAACACGACTCTCTGTACACAGCTCGGCAGGTGGAACCGTGATCTATTGGGCTAAAAAGAGTCACAAGATTTTATATATATATATGTGTATATACACACACACATCCATACATATAAAATATATCTATCGCGCAAGATCCCATCCCGTTTCTCACACTGACATTGCTGCCGAGTAGAGCAAAGCCCAGGAAATATTTTAAGAAGAAATATTTAAAAAGGCGGTGTCGAGAAGTTCAGCAGCAGAGAGAGAGCAGAGAGAGGAGAGAGCAGAGAGAGCAGAGAGAGGAGAGAGCAGAGAGAGCAGAGAGAGA